TGTATGATAGGGTATTATGGTTATCACAAGAGTCCACAATTAAGGTTGCATAGTGGAATGTACTTGGGGCGGTGGGAGGGGTGTGGGGGGATTGTGTACCAGGGAGGGAGTCTTTCTTTTACTTTTGAAAGAGAGGAGCAAACTGGGGGGCGGGGGAAGAGGGCTGGGCAGGGAGAGAAGTGCAGCAATGAATGAATGGAAATCCAAATTCTCTGTAAATGTTCATTAAAATTATTTTTTAAAAAATGAAATAAAAAAACAAAACTTGAGGCTAAAGATGTAAATGGCAACATAATGCAAAACACAACTGGATTCCCCATGTTACAGCTCTGTTATCTGCTGGTCATGAGTTTGCTAGGTTCTGGTTCCTAAGCAACTCTACTTCCCTGCTCAAGACTTTATCATGCAGCGGTCATCTCTGACTTCTTCCATTTCACTAGTAATTGTAGTGCTCTTAAGCATGAATCTCATGAAAGATATATCTCCCAAGTCCTGAAACTTTTCCTTAAACAGCTGCCATGTATGCTTCTCAAGAATAAAGGTCTTTAACAAAGGATGGAGTTCACCTTAAATTAAGACATCTTTTTGCATTGAATTAAGCTCCTTGTGGTTACAAACTAACTTAAAAGACTTTCAAAGTTTTTCTTCAGGAGTTACAAACAAGACGACACAAAACCTCACTGATCCTTCTAGCCATCCTGGCTTCAAATGCCATATATGAAGAGCTCTGTTAAGCTGAGTGTTCAGGTAAATGCTAGGAGTCGTCAAGCAGGGAAGGGATCTAAGAGCCCAATACACAGTCAAGGGCAGAAAAGCTCTTGTTACCAAGTTGGAGGAAGCTCTGGTGACTTAATGGTAAGGAGTTGCACTGCCATCCCAAAGCCAAGCTCTTCACATCCACCAGCTGCTCTGCAGGAGAAAGATGGGCAGTTTCCTTCCATACAATTTACTGTCTCTGAAAACCTGCTCGAGGGTCTAGCTTTGAGTCATTTCTGACTCAGTGGTACATAACAATAGC